TTTCTGCCTCCAAACAGCTCTAGCTAACTTAGATTTAACCACTTTGATGCCGAATGGAGAAGAAAGCAATGTGCCTAGACTGAATCCAGAGATGTGTCCAAACCACAAGCACATACCTACCTAACCCTGCATACTCGGAAGACTTTCTGCATGTATCCCTGTGCCTCAGACCACAGCATAACAGCCCATCAGGGTCTCAGCTATAATGGCATCTCACCTTGTCCGACATTATATTTCATATAAATATTGGGGTCAATTTACTAAAACTGGAGAGTGCAAAATCTGGTGCAGTTCTGCATAGAAACCAATTGGCTTGCAGGTTTTATTGCCAAAGCTTAACTGAACAAGCTGAAGTTAGAAGATGATTGGCTACCGTGTACTGCTGACCCAGATATTGCACAGGTTTTATTAAATCAACCCAAAGAAACATAGAAAAGCAACAGCAGGTACTGCAGAGCAGACACGGCCACAACTGGCTGTCCTCTATGGGCGGTCAGATGGAAAAGGATCGCCTGTCTGTTGCCATCCCATCCGATGCTTCGGACGGACGGAAGTAGAATGAATCCCCCATTCACCTCTTTTTGGCTGATCGGATTGGATATCGGCAGGTGTAAACGGACACGTTTATTTATTTCAGGTACTTATATAGCACCGTCAATTTACGCAGCGCTTTACACATATATATTGTACAGTCACATCAGTCCCCAACCCTCAAGGGGTGTACAATCTAAGGTCCCTAACTTACATTCATACATACACATATTAGGGCCAATTTAGACAGGATCCAATTAACCTACCAGCGTGTCTTTGGAGTGTGGGAGGAAACGGGGAGTACCCGGAGGAAACCCACGCAGGCACAGGGAGAACATGCAAACTCCAGGCAGGTGGTGCTGTGGCTGGGATTCAAACCAACAACCCTAGTACTGCCAGGCACATATCTGTTTACACCCACCGCTCCATAGAGAAGAGAGGTTCTGCCTGCTTGAAAGGGGTCTATATAAAACTGGAGCACTCAGAATCTGGTGCAGCTGTTCGTGGTAGCCAATCAGCTTCTAAAGTCAGCTTGTTCAATTAAGCTTTGACAATAAAAAGTGGAAGCTGATTGGTTTCTATGCAGAGCTGAACCAGAGTTTGCACTCTCCAGTTTTAGTAAATCAACCCCACTATCTATGCTAGAAATCTATACCACGCATCATCTACCCTTTCATTAAAGTAATACTTTCTAAGATTAGTTTTGAACATCACTCCAGTTATTTTCATATTATTTATCATTCCTATCTTTGTGAAAAATGTTTTACTTAGTTCAGGGCACCAACACAATCAGTCCAAAAAAAACAATTTATTAATTATTTTTCATTTATACAGGTTCCATAGACCCATGTAAATGTAAATTAGCTTGACCGTAAACCCGCTTCTTTGCCTTTGGGCAAAGTGAATACTCCAGTCTGTCGCTGGGATAATGAAACAAAACAGGTAATGTATATTAATTACAAAGTTAATTGTTTCACTGTGTTGTCTGAAAGCTAGACTCCAACCAATTTTTTTTGAAGCTTTGATTACAGTTGCTGCAGTTTTACTTGAAAATATTACATATGTCAGAAAAAACAACCATACACTTAAGAACTTGGACACATTCTTTCCTTTCAACAGTTTATCTTATTTATCTTTGGAATGTACTGATAAAGAATGTTGACAGTGGATGCTAATCTTCCTATTAAATCTCAAAAAGGAACTATAGGCTTTTTTAATGCTTTTTTTAACTGCAAATTAGATCCACGTAAATAAGGTTATAAGTGTGTAATATTAATTCAAAAACTTTGTGTTTGTAGTTATACATGTACACATGGGAGCTCATTGCTTATTACATGTATAGGCTGTACTTTCTGGTTGTGCCATGATGCTCCTCTAAAGCTGGCAACATATGGATTGAAATTCAGCCACTTATGCAGGGAGCGGACGAATTTCAATCCATGTATTGGCACCCTGGTGGTACAGAAGTCGATCTAACCGATCAACTTCTGTACAACCAACCTGTACATTTTTTCTGATCAGTCAGTGCTGCTGGCTATAGCCGGCAGCACTGCATGATCATGCATTCTGAAGGTGTAGAAGACTCCCCACCATCAGAACAAAATAGCACAGCAGGAGTTATTCCCTCCATCCAAATCAAATATGTGTGTATGGAGGAATCTGATCTTTTTTTTTTTTTTTCAACCTGCTGGTTGAACAAGAAAAAAAAAGGTAACGTTTTTTGACGTTTTGGGCTGTCTTACAGTACAAGATGATCCTCTGCAGTCTCTAAAGCTGGCAGGGGTGGACTGACAACTCATGGGGCCCCCCGGGCAATAGGGATCATGGGGCCCCTGTGTCCTTGCCCACATTCAAAAAAGCCAATAAAAAAGGTACCAGAGGCATTTCATAGGGCCCCTACTGACCCCGGGCCCTCAGGCAGTGCCCTAGTGCTCGAATGGTCAGTTTGCCCCTGAAAGCTGGGCATACACTGGTAGATTTTCCAACAAATGTTCATATGAAAATTCTCACAGTACATTTAAATACTGTTTGAAAGCACTTCATATTTTCATTTGCTTTTACTCTGATTTTGATCCCTCATACAGCGGTTGCACACAGAATGAATGTAATTTTTCAAATGAAAACCACATTCATGCATAGTAATTTGTTAGTTCAACGCAAATTATCCACCCTGCTTCTTTGAATTTTCTCATCACTGCAGGTGAAAATGAACATTCTTTTGACTCCAATAATCAGAAAAACAAACAAATGGTCCTGAAACTGCTCTAACAGTAAAGAACCCTTTCCTTAGTATAGGGTTAAGCCTCTTTTCTTCTAACCTCAAATCGTGTCCGCATGTCCTCTTCAGGGGGTAAACAGTTTATCACATTATACTGTATTTGTACATTGTAATGAATAACTGTAATTGACCCTCATAGCTGAGGTCCTCCAGTTCATGGAATGTTTTATGAAATCTTCTCAAAATTTGAATAAGAACTTTGTCACACTAGTGCAACTTTGACGCAACTTTGGATGGGTGCAACTTGGATGTGGCTTGTTGTTCTTTTGCAAAGTCGGAGCCACTGTTGCACCACTGTTGCATGCAAAACATTCAGGTATGACTTTCTTGCAACTTTTGAGGGTTAACATTGAAGTTTATGGCCCTCAAGTCGGACCAAAGTAGTACATGAACTACTTTGAAGTAGCTGCGACTTTAAGTTGCACATATACAGTATGAATGGTTATCATTCGAAAACATGGGGTATGACTTGTCTTGATGTCCAGAGTTGCATGACAAGTCGCACAATTGTAAATGGGGTGTGGAAGACTGGGGACTGGAGTAATCTTTCCTTAAAATTAAGTCTGTGCTTTCTGAGCTGAACGCACATGGATCTGCTGAACTGTTGCTGGAACAGGTTTTTCATTATTTGCTCACTTCTTTAAATAATTAAAGAAAATTTTGCATTCAAGGTTTGAGACCACAAAAGTTCAGTAGCTCTATGGATTTAAACTAATCAAAGACATAACTACAGCCACAGGCAGTGCAACTGTTATGTGGCTAAACAGCAGAATGGCCCAGTGATGTGTCACTGGATAATAACACTGTTCAACAGGTAAAACGTTTTGGGCATAAAATTAGCTAATCTTACATAATTTTGGGGTGCTGAAAACGAAAATGACCCTAAAAAATGTTGATTGGCTCTAGTTTCCATGATATATTCACCCATCTAATGATGTAAGCCATTCAAAATTATGATGCAACTTCAGCTGCATATTGCGCAATTGATACTGGTGACCAATAGAAAATTGCATGTATACTGAGATGATGCAATATTAGCCTTTAATTGCATCACTTCACTGCATAAAAGCTGCAGTATCTGTAGCTGATTGTAGTTCGACAGCGTCTTTACATTTCGTTTTATGCTTATATAGGCTACTCAGTAATGCCTCGAACTTGTGTGAATAAAGCAGATAATTTCTGCTATATCTGCGGTGAAATAACTTTTATCTCACAAAAAAGGAGGATAACAGGAATGATTAAGAAAGCCTACAACTTGTATTTTGGCTGCAAGATAGGAGACCAGGACAAGAGCTGGGCACCACATATATGCTGCAATTCTTGTGGGACGGCACTGGAGCAATGGTTGAATGGAAAAAAGGCATCTATCACTTTCGCTGTGCCAATGATTTGGAGAGAGCCAACAGATCTTGTTAGTAATTGTTACTTTTGTATGGTGCCTCCAACAAAAGGGCTAAATAAGAAGAAAAAGTTATCTGTGCACTATCCAAATATTCCATCGGCAATACGTCCAGTTCCTCATGGAGAGGGGCTACCAATTCCTAAAGCACCAGAATCCTTCGTGGTTGAGTCAAGTGAGGAAGAACCTGAAGCGTGTAGTCACGTGCAGTTGTAAGAGATAGCCCTTTCCTCGAATACAAGAGAAAAGCCAAGAGAAGCAAAACCGACACAAACTGAAGACAAAAACTAGTGAGAATCCTAAGTATTAAAATGATTCAACTTAGCTTATGGCTATAATTTTTCTTGGTAATCCTATGCAATATATTATGCCATTTAGGCTTTGTTATGTAGTCAATATCACTTGCTTTATATTTGTGGAAAGACATCTATCTATATAATTATTGTGCATTATGTAGTCATTACGTCTATAGTAGAAAACTTTCCGTTTACAGAAAAACTAGAGCCAATTGACAAATTTCATTGTTATATTTGAACTCAGAATGTGAAATTCATTAAGAAATGGATCCTTTTGTTTCCAAAACTGGCAAAAAATTAAAATTTGTTGAACAGTGTAATTATTTTAGGTAACAAAATAATTTGACAAACATGTTTGAAGATATATCTATAATATATATATACTGCTGGACAGTGCTTTTTTTCTCAGAGAATAGGTGCAGGAAATCTCCTCTTCTGAATCACTTCTTGTCTACGCTCCCTACCAACCTCTGAGCACTGCCCCTTGGTTTTGCGCCCTACCCACCTGCCAGTGTGCTTCCTTTATAAAATTCAGAGCCAAGTATCATTTTGTGGTGCTAAGTATTATTATTATTATTATACAGGATTTATAGTTTGCTCAGCGCTGTACATTATAATGGGAGACAGTACAGTAACAATACGATTCAATACACGAGGGGTTCGAGGGCCCTGCTCCTTGGAGCTTACAATCTAGGAGGGAGGGGAGAGTGGTACAGGGAGCTGTGGGGGATGGAGTGGTAGGAAGAGTGGAGGAGTTGTAATTAGTGAGGGCGGGGTAGGCTTCCCTGAAGAGATAGGTTTTCAGGGTACGCCTACAGGTGAGGACTGAGTAGGGAATATGTTATGGAATATGTTATTGATAACAAGAAAAGGTTAAATAGATCCCCCCCAAGAGCAGCAATTGATTTCCCCCCAGAAGGATTTCCCTAGCAACAATGAAAAGTCCAGCAACAATAGACCTTCAGCAACAAAAGATTTCCCAGCAGCAATAGTCTCTCCAACAGCCAGCAATAGACCCCTCCCTCAGCAGTAGATCTCTTCCTGCAACAATTGACCCCCCCAGCAACAACAGACTGTTATGCAAAAATATATCCTCTCCAATGACAATAGATCCCCTAGCAACCAGCATCAAAAACTCATACGTCTTTTTCCCAAAGACAACCTCTGGATATGACGCTGAGCACGTGCACTCAACTTTGAGTCTGTCTGTTCTGAGTGGAACCTCTCTTGGTAAACCATTGTATGGTCTTGGCCACCATGCTGCAGCTCAGTTTCAGGTTCTTGGCAATCCTCTTATAGCCTAGGCCATCTTTATGTAGAGCAACAATTCTTTTTTTTTTCAGATCCTCAGAGAGTTCTTTGCCATGAGGTGCCATGTTGAACTTCCAGTGACCAGTCTGAGAGAGTGATAACACCTTGTAACACTAACGAGTCACATGACACCGGGGAGGGAAAATGGCTAATTGGGCCAAATTTGGACATTTTCACTTAGGGGTGTACTCACTTTTGTTGCCAGCGGTTTAGACATTAATGGCTGTGTTGAGTTATTTTGAGGGGACAACAAATTTACACTGTTATACAAGCTGTACACTCACTACTTAATACTGTAGCAAAGTGTCATTTCTTCAGTGTTGTCACATGAAAAGATATAATACAATATTTACAAAAATGTGAGGGATGTGCTCACTTCTGTGAGATACTGTATATTACAAGGTAAAACTTTGTGAGGTTTATGCGAGGTCTAACACTGTGGAATTTTTGGAATATCTAGAGAAAACTGTACAGATTGTAACGTGTATGGCAATCTTCAAATGGCCCAAAATTGGTTTTGTTATGATGCCAACCTTTTAGAACAAGGGTCTCAAAGTTTCCAAGCAAAGGGCCAGTTTACTGACTTTCAGGCTTTAGGAGGGATGGACTGTGGCCAGTGGGAGCAGAAAATGCGCTGGCATCAGTGCCCCATCATTGGTTTTAATGGGAGGAATAGTGTCCCAGTGTTGATATAAGCGAGGTGAATAGTACCACATTGCTGGTGTCAGTAGGAGGAATGGTGCCCCATAATTTTTGTCAGTTGGTAGAATGATGCTACAAGGGCCAGATAAAGGCAAGCAAAGAGCCACAGCCAGCACCCAGGCCACAGTTTGGAGACCACTGTTTTAGAACAATGCCCATGAAGATAATCTTCCATAAACCCCTACCTCCAACTTGCTGACAGCACAACTGATATACAAGTGCTGGGTAAAAAAGAATATATTTTGTCTTGCCTATGATAACTGGTCCGCACTTGAACTGCACTTGATTAGTTGTTAACAGAAACACAGATATTTTTCCTCCTCTAGTGTTTATGGATCGATCCTGTTACCATGAACTCTGCTTAGAGTGGCAAGTAAAATATTAAAAACATAGCTTGTCTGTGTATATATTAACAACACGATCTTAAGAGGAAGAAGAGCTAAAGTGATCTCCCCCCCTCTTTATACAATAGCCTGCCTAAGTGGTCACTGACACGTCCACAGCTTCCACTGTGTTATGTAACCTCGCCGGGATCACATCGTGTAAAAAAATATTTCTTCGAGGAAATGTGTGGCATGACATCAAACTGGAACACACCCATGAGTTAATTAGTAGCACATGTCAGTTAAGATAATGGCAGCTTTGAAAGCACCAGGGATGGTGGCACACTGGTTAGCTCTCAGTATCAATTACAAAGACACTTTTCATCCTTTTCATCATTCTACTGCCCTTCCCTGCAATTAGTGGGTGCTACCAGCTGCTAATTGGTGTAAATTGATATTAGCAGGTGTAAAAGCAAGAATGCTTTCTGTGGAAATTAGGCTGTACGCACTAGGAAACTAGACATGAAATATTCAATCATTTCCGCAGACACATTGGAGGAGCTTTACTAAAACTGGAGCTCTCAGAATCTGGTTTCAGCTGTGCATAGTAACCAATTAGCTACTACCTTCAGCTCCTTCAACTAAGCTTTGACAATAAAAACCTGGAAGCTGATTGGTTTTTCTGCAGAGCTGCACCAGATTTTGCACTCTACAGTTTGCTGATTACTGAAATTATCTTGGTTAGGTTCACCCTTATGCGTCTGCATTTTCATGTGTTTTTACAAGTGTCTAGCATTTTATGTACATTTTATGTGTTTTTTATGCACTCCCATTGAAATCTATGGGGTTAGTTTACACCCCGGTCACATCAAACCTGATTTTGAAATTGTGCAACTTACAATGAAGTCTCACGATTTCAAAATCGGGTGACCTGCTGATTTCCTTGCGATTTGCAAGACATCTGACACAGACGTCTATGCAAATCGCAACAAAAGTAGTGCATGTACTACTTTAGAAATTGGTGTGGCTCCGACCAAATCTGAATTGCACCGATATGACCGCTCTAATAGCGGATAATAGGGTGCGACTTGGCATACGATTTGTAAGTTGCCTGGCATGCAAATCGCGTACCAAATCGCACCCAATGGGGGGGCTTACTAAAACTGGAGAGTGCGCAATCTGGTGCAGCTCTGCATAAAAACCAATTAGTTTCCAGATTTTTATTGTCAAAGGGCTCTTTCACACGAACGTTCTGACTGGGTCCGCCTGTCCGTTTTTCAGGCGGACCTGATTGGAACCTCCATTCTCCACTATGGAGTGGTGGGTGTAAACGGACATGTGTCTGTTTACACTCCCAATATCTGATTCGATCTGTCAAAAAGGGACAGATGGGGATCCAATTTCCCTTCCGTCCGTCAGATCAGATCGGATGAAAACGGACAGGCAGTCTGTTTTCATCCAAACAAACACCATTGAGGAGAGGGAGCAACTTGATGTCCGTTCTGCAGCAGATACAGAGCTGTCATCCGCTTGCTTAGCGGGGATCAGCGGAGAGGTCCCCCCACCGAGCAAGCAAATCCGGTAAACACGTCAGCCCCATGTGAAAGAACCCTAAAAGAGAAATATAACACTTTGGTTTAATTTTAAAAAAATCATACTTACTCAGGTGGATGCAGCATCACAGCGATGCTGCATTCCTGTCCCCCAGCTCTAAGGGTGGGTAGCACAGTGGCTAAATGGTTAGCACTTCCGCCTGACAGTACTACGGTCATTGGTTCGAATCCCAACCACAGCACCACCTGCCTGGAGTTTGCATGTTCTCCCCTGTGCCTGCATGGATTTCCTCGGGTACACTGGTTTAGTTCCACACTCCAAAGGCATGCTGGTAGGTTAATTGGGTCCTGTCTAAATTGGCCCTAGTATGTGTATGAATGAATGTAAGTCAGGGACCTTAGATTGTACACACCTTGAGGGTTAAGGACTGATGTGAATATATATATATATATATATATAAACTGTATGCCAATATATATATGTAAAGCACTGCATGAATTGATGGCACTATATAAGTAGCTAAAATAAATAAATAACATAGCAATTACATGACCATTGACCACTAACTTCTCACGCTTCTCTAGGGTTGCCACCCTCATCCCTCTAAAACTGAACACATATTCATTTCTGAGGTTCTTTGGCTGACTAAGGTGGTAATTAAACTCACTTTGTGCCTTGTCTGCATTAAATCAGCCACAGAACCTGTGCAATTAATATGTGTTCGGTTTTAAAGGGATGAGGTGGCAACCCTACCCCCCTCCCTTCCTGCGCTCACTGGAGCCTGGGCTGTGGAGGGGGGGGAAGCAACGGGTTCATGCTCTCAGAGGATCACTGAGAGGCAGAGCCAGGAGTCGCTCCAGACTCTGGAGTGGAACCCGACATTAAAGTTGGGATCCTTCCCCAGCCTGCACCGGCTGAGTGACGTCAGCTGACAATGAGCTTCAGCCCACTGTCAGTTGAAAACGGGTCACAGGAGTGCAGAACTGACTGTACTCCTATGTTTCACAGGAGAAGTACAGTCAAAAGAACATGGCTGTACTTCTCCTTTAATTGAACAAGCTGAAGTTAGAAGCTGATCTGCTGCACCACTGTTGTGCATTGTTGAGCGATGGCTGAAGTGCAACACATTGTACAGGTGTGAATGACTCCTTGAGGGTTAGGGACTGATGTGAATGTACAATATATATGTAAAGCGCTGCGTAAATTGACAGCACTATGTAAGTACCTGAAATAAATAAATAATTTCTCGTTATTCAGCAGATTCTCATTAATGAAAAAAACTTTAACCAGGGGCGTGTAAAAAAATTGGAACAAAGATACCTTACGTATTTTAGAAAACTCTCTACAATGGTCAGGCAATGTTGATAATAAGAATGTAGTCTAATATAAAAAAAAATAAGCTTTCAACTGGAACTTTACATACATTTGTGAAAGTCTTCTCCCCTCCTCTGCCAATAATGTAGAAAAAAGGGGTTTTTTTTTCTCTTGGACGTGGGCACCTTTTTCTGGCAGGCACTTCTGCTTGACTCACCTAGGCGAGTTGAGCAGAGGTTCTGCACTATGTACATAGATAAACCATGCCCTATACATAGAAACAGGGGTTTAACATTTACAAACATTGATAGGCGCGTTTGTACTAAAAGTTATCTAT